TTGGTTTGGCAACGCGTAATGAAAATCAACATTTGCAATGCTAGTTTTCCCACTATAATTTTGATGTTCAGACATTCTAGGATGACTGATTCGTATGATTCACTTTTTGAAGTACACATAAGTCTCGGATTTAAATCCGAAGTTTCCGCATTTATTTTCAGAAAAATCGATTTTGAGATAAGCACATATACTGAAAGCTCGAAGTGTTCTCTTTCAGATTATGTGCGATTTATTGCAGTTTGAATGGTTTTTGGAAGTGAAAATAGCGGTTTTCTGGGAGCAGTAGTAGAAATATAAGGTTTTTTCAGAAAATTTCCTTAGTTACGGGGGTGTAACAGTGGTCAACAAACGTCTAGACGGTTGTTAATGAGAAACACACACATGATCTGTTATATTAATTAATTAGACCAATATGGCGAGTTTAAAAAACCAGATTTTTGGAGCCCTTTTCTACAAAAAAAGAGGTTTTGAGCGATTTTCAATGTTAGTTTACATTCATTTTTGTTCATTTCAAAAATTTATAGGTTATTTTCGATTGCGCATCTGCTGAACACAGTGAGAGCATACTCTCTGAGATAGCAAGAGAAGAAAAACAGCATTTCATTGTTTATTGTGCAAATAAATCAATAAAAGTTTCTACTGAAAAAAACAACATCTGGCTGTTTATAACAATCATAGTTCTTAATATCTGATGGAAATCTGCATCTTATAAGTTGTTTTATCAAGGCTGGCCACTCATATGTCTCATAATTTTTCGAAGTTAATTGTTTTTGCTGGCGTTGACGAAGAATCAGAACATATAATTGGCGGTACACATCGTGTCGATTCTCGACGTCCTCTGCACTTTCTAGTACATTTAGTTGTTGTTGAGAAGCGGTTGTTGACAGTGGAGCAGACGAGTGATATTCATATTCTAAACTAACGTCGCTGTGTGTCAGCACTATCGTTATTGTCGTTGTCGAGAGAAAACATTTCGTTGCTGTCGTCATCATCACCATTTGCGAGTTGTGCTTGTGAAGAGTTTTGAGCTGCAGATGGTGGAATATCAAGAATTGCAGCGAGATCGGGCGGAAAAGGAATGTTTCGTTTTTGAAACATTGTTTTCAGAAAATTATATGTTATTTTGAAGTTGTTTAGATTCATCTAGAAAGGATGAAAGGTAGTAAAACAAAATTATCTTGTTATCTATAGCAAGAAACCGTTATTCAAACTACAGCTTCAGATAAGAAATCGTTCACGGTCTCCAATTGTATGTTTGCCGAAGAAACTTTGTCTTCGGTGCAACCGGATTCAAATAGAACATTCATGTACTCATATTTCATATTCTTGGCTACAGCAAAACTATAAGTTTCAAAATTACTATTGTTCATTAGAGCGATATAAACAAATTTCATGAACATTTCCAAACTGTTTTAGTAAGCTCCAGGTACGTAGGAATCATCCACTTCATCTTGCGTTTAATTGATACTTGATAACGAATTCATTGAGCGGCTAGCTGAGTGTGACTTTTTACGAGCTTCCTGAGTGGCTCGTTGTTGATCCAATCGTTGAAATATAGAAGAAGTGAATGTACCACTGGATCCTGAAAGATATAAAACTTCGAGTACAAACTGTTGCTATAGTTCTTCAATTTCATACCAAGAAGACTCTCAAAAAGCGGTAGCAATGATTGGAAACCATCATTGGAAACGATGACAGATAGTGCTACGCAGAAATCAATGATTGTACCACTTGAGGGACGACTCTTTGGTGCCATTGACCATAGGAAAGAGTGATAAGATTCGTTGGGATTCTGAGTGGATCCATTTAAAACTCGAGAAAGATTTTCGTCTATGATAAAAAAAGAAAAAACAACAGTCAAAGCACCATTGGGTTTTGAAAATAAGAGTAGCTAGCACTTATCTGATGAATAGTAGCATAAAACAAAATAATAAACATTATAAAGCATAGCATAAAAAATTATAACAATCAGAGAATATTGCGAAAAGTTGAATTTGCATTTCTGAACTTCACACTTACGGGAAGCTAGTTCCTCGAACACAGGTCGGATAGCTTTTATTACTCCCTTTGGAAGAGAATGTGGTGTATGATCATATTCTCCTCCTAGAAAATTACGAATCTGCTATCTGAAAAGTTCCCAAATATTTCCAGTTGCTGATACCTTTCTCGAGTGCTTTCCAAAAACCACAATACGCTGGTGAACACCACTCATGATATGGATCTGAATTTGTGGATGACTGAAATGATGGAATTTTCGCAGTTATTTATGAAGTAATGTAAATCTTAGAACTTTTTACTTTGTGTTTATAAATTCCCCATACGGCTTTGACCATGTCATTAAGATCCGTTTTATTTCGAACAATTGCTTGACGATAATAGTATTTAAAGTTAATAACCATATCTAGTAAAAAGATCCATGTCAATAAAGATAAAACGTGCAGGAAAACTGTGATCTCACTTTGAGTTAGACGATTCGAACCAGAGATTCCTTTTTTGCCATCAATTAACTCATTTTTAACTTCATTTCTGACTTTCTCCAGGCGGTGCTGCATTTTTTTACACCACTAAAATTACAGAAAGGTTGAATTTTGGACGAGCAAAGAATTTTTGAGGTCACGTGATTGACATCTTCGGTTTTCTCCACTATTAAATCTGGATATGGTGGTTCATTGCGCAGCTTCATCATCGTTTTCGTATCGCCATCACCAATATACCTACAACAAAAACGAAGAAGCACAAAGAATCGTGTATCAACCGGGAAAAGTTCACAAAAGTAGAATTACTTATCTAATTCGAAATGAACAGTCGTAAAAGAAATGATTGCAAAATAAATCATGAAAGCACACAGTTCACTCCACACTGCTTAGACATTACTTTGAATATCGAACATTGTATCGATCAATAGAACGATAGAAGAGACGATGGATGCCATCCATTTCCATAGCAGCTACGAGTGTTAGATAGTCGGAAATCAGAAAGACAAAATGAGTATGAGGAATTTATCGGAAGAGCCTTTATAATTCAGCTGACATTGGTGAGTACTCATGACTTGCTCAAATTTTACTGGATCAGATTGTTTTATACTCTTCGCACCATCACAAACTGTACATCGTTTTGATAATCGTTCAATATCAAGTACCTATAGAAGACAGAGTATTATAAATCTAAGACAAACACTTCTAAAGCGTATTACTTTAGGCACGTCTGAGCTGGATATGACAGCAGCAACACCATTATGACTACTAAAACCACGTTTTTGCCAACTTCCATCGCCACTAACAACTAAGTCTCTAGCACCTGCACCTTCAACGGCATTTTGCATTCTAAACGGAAAACACTAGTTGAAAAATGATACAATAATTTTTTTAAATAATGAACGTACGACTTTTGTTGTTGTTCAATAGCCGAAGGCAGAATTTGATTGAGCAAATTAGAGAAGTGGTCTTCGTCAACGGGTGCCGGAAAATTCATTGCCCCACACAGTTTCAACATACCTGCGTGTCCTAGGCCGGCTAAATGTGCCCCTGCAGAAAAGAGAAAAATAATTGTTTTAGTTATAAGAAAATGTCTCAGCCATTATGAGCATACCAATTATAGAGCGGACGTTCACATCTCTGAATTTTGACTTTTCGCATTGCTTGGAAGCGTTAATTTTTATTGTATGCCCACATGTGCATATAAATTCCAACGAACAGTACAATCCTAAACAAAAAAAGATAGAAAACACAAAGCACCTTTTTGCGGTAGAAAAAAACGATAAAATTACACTTATCCAATTCATTTGTCATTCGAAATCAGCTAATAGCTGCATAAACAATTATTTTTCTATGTTTCAAGAAAAAAAAAGCGAAATGATAATTGCAAAATGATCAATCAGCCTTGAGAAAACTGCAATACTTCTTTTATGTACCTTCTCTTTTTATTATTAACATAGCTCCATTCCATGCATCACTACAGCTACTACAGGTGGTATTTCTCATCAGTTGTAATAAGAAATCATTATGAATAATTTGATAAAAGTCCAAAGAATCTTTTGCCATAGTAGTTGCTTCCGGTTTGTTTGACTGATGCTGTTCTTGTTCTTCATATTGTCGAAGTCGTTTGAATGAAGGCCCAACATAATTTCGAATTTTGTAAGCGGAACTTGGTGTGTAGAATTGAGAGCAAGTAGTTAGTTGTTGTGAAGAAGGAGTAGTTTGAAGTGACGACAGTGGTAAACAGCAAATTTTCGGGGTAATATGTGGTCCAGTTTGGTTAGACGAGAGTGAAGAAAAACAAGATGATGGTGGTGCATTTTCTTTGTTCGCTGTTGAACATGATGATGAATTTGAACGAGAATGTACGAGTGTTTTACAATGTTTAGATCGAACAGTAGAGCCGAAAAGAGACCGACGACGTGGCATCTAAAAGAGATATGAAAAAATTCAAGAATTATGAGCAATAATAACGTTTAAAAATTAAAATCAAGAAAATATTCACGAAACAGAGAGAAAAAATTCAAACTTGTAGTTCAGCACATATGATTATTGCAACTATATGATCTAAAATCTTTTTTTTACGAAAATTGATCAACATGAAACTACTATAGTATGGGCATTATCAAATACATTCTCACCGCCATGTGTACCATAAGCGTAGTCGTTTCTGCTTAGAGTCCTTTATACGTGACGAAATTATAGTATAGGGGTCATGACAGTCATAGTGAAATAAAAAAATTGTTTCATATTTTATTTAATTATGCAATTTTAAAAAGAGAATTTTACGCTGATTTCAAATATATATAACACTAACTACTTTTGTTACATTCACACCCATTTACACATCTCACAAACTTGTTTATTTGTTTTCTCAAAATCACTTTTTTGGAGAGCTCGGAACCGATTTCTCAAACTGCAGAGGAGCTAGCGAGCTACTGTTTTTTTTAAATAAAAAAAGAGACCTATATCTAGAAATGTATATAGCGTTTTTTCGAAATTCGATTTCTTTGCCGTGATAACTGGATAACACTGACGTCAAAAAGCGCTAAATTCCGAGTTCTTGCAGGAAAATGTCTCGGAAATCCGAACAAAATCGAATTTCGAAAAAACGGTATATACATTTCTAGATTCAAGTCTTGTCTTTTATTTAAAACAAACGGTATCTCTCTACGTCTTCGACAGTCTGAGAAATCGGTACCTTACGAAGATCACCATTTTGGAGACTAATTTGTCAATAACTCGTTAAAGCAAAAACTTTATGAGCCAAAAATTTGCAAGGACTTGAGTTAACACAGCACCCATATTGCCTGAAAATTTCAAGCGAATCGGTCCACGAATAACGAAAAACGATTCCTGAGGGAGGGGTTCCCCTTAATAAATTGAATTAGTTATTTTTTTATGTAGTAGGTTGATGCAAGCACGCAAATCTTGGAGTAAGTTTGATCTTTTTAAGGTGGTTATATTGATTTGTTTTTATAGTTTAGGTTGTTTCAAATATGGAAATCCAGGTTGGTGCTGATTTTGAACCTTCGGTGCCGTCGGTGGTATGCATACCATTTCAAGTATTTCTCAAAATCCAAGGATAGTACATGTCAAATCGATCAAAAGTAAGTCGAAATATTGTATGCAGCAGTTTTGCTTTATTGATGCAGAAAATTACTGTGTAGACTGTTTTTACTTACTTGTGATTATTTGATGTATACCGTCTTTGAGTTTTTGAGAGATACTCGAGATGGTATGCATACCACCGACGGCACCAGAGGATTATGTAAAATTTTGGCTGTGTGGAGGAGTGGAGCAAGGTTTGGTGCAGATTATTTTGAACAGAACCTTTTATTAAAATTGGTAATAAAGGTTCAGCGTAAAACTCTTAATACGAAACCTTGCTTTCCTGTTTCTGGTTTAGGTTTTGTACGGAACCTTTTTTCTATTTGGATCGAATAGATTGGTATGAAACCTTTGCTACGAAACCTTTATTTCAGTTGTCTTGATATGGTTTGGTACCAAACCTCCTTTTTACGAAACTGAAAAATGATCTTACCATGTTCTCAGGACAAGATCCTTTTTAGGTTCGGTAAAAAAACCTTTTTTTAAGAGAGTACGCCATCACTATGAAGGGAAAGATTTCCAAAAAATCATACATGTCAAACCTGAAAATTGAATTCAATTATTGAAAATTTACTTCAACTATTCAATTTTTCAATTATTCCATGTTCACTAGATGTGGGTGCGGAGAAAGGAGTTCGGAGGGAGATGACATACACATCGTTACACACACACATCGCGCGACCAGGTGTGGATGCGAAGAAGGGAGTTCGGGGGGAGACGACAAAAAATGAATAATTGAATAGTTGAAGTTCAACTATTGAATAATTGAATAATTGAACTTGAACTCTTCAATAGCTGAATAGTTGAAGTAGATTTTTAATAATTGAATTCAACTTTCAGGTTTGACACTACTATTGAACTGCAGTCTTTATAAGAGCTCGACAGTTGAAATTTTGTGTGTATATACTCTATGACGAACGCTGATCATCAGCACTACTCGCGTCAAAATTGCTCAAGCCAGAACATAGCTATAATAGGTGGTAGTTATGCTCCTTGTAAAATTCATAATTCGAGAAAGGAAAGACCTATTCAGTCGATCAACATCTCATTGTGTAGTACTCTACTCTAGCTATCTACAATATAAATTTCATTGAAGTTCATCGAGTCGCTGATGAATTATGACCATTTTACTGTAACCATCGATGTACAAGGAAACCATGTGATATCATTGTGAGATCCATAATTCAGTAAAAGCTTAACAGGTCTATCTGAAATGTTGAGATGTTCGCTCACAGTTGCCCATTATTTTCTGAAAGTGTCAGAAGTAAACATTATACTGGAAGAAAATGGCACACTGATGACCATTGGGCTATTGTCAAGGTTTCAGGGAACCTATTTCTCAAGCAAATGTATTTATTTTTCTACTAATGAAAGACCATATCTTGAGCTTCATTTTCATACTAAAATATCGATAATTACAGTTTTGTTTGATAAAATAAAGCAAAAAGTTTCATAGATATCTTTTTTTCATCTTTTCAG